GACCATTGGGTTTCACGCTCCATGGGGTCAGCCAATCATCTTGAAAGATACTCTTCTTCCAACTCTATCGGGAATTTTTTTGCCCTTTTATGAAGCATTGGCTATGGGAAACTGCCAGAGGCAGGATACTGGGCTTGGTGGACTAACAGCCTGATCTGGATTGGGAAATCTTATTGAGAACTAAAAAAAATAAATAAAAAGGAAATATTTAGAGATTCAAGGGGAGTGGAGACACATCCCCTTTCCGTGCCTCAGTTTCCCCATGTGTAAAATGAGGCTAATGATACTGATCATCCTTTGTAAAGAACTTTCATTAGATCTACTGATGAAAAGTGCTATATAAGAGTGGTGGTGGTATTATAATTATTTATTATTTGTAGGAAAGCCATTAGTTGACTTCTGGGTGCAAGTCTGACCCCCTCTTCCTTCATGTAGTTTAGTTGGACTTTTATGGGTGAGCAGGGAGAGGGCTGAGGGCTATCTAACCATTTCTGCTCTCCCTAGTAACTTGCAGCTCTCTCAGCGATACTTGATGTGGGAGGTTCCAGGCTCTGGTGTATTGAAGTTAGTAGCTTCCACAGAGTAGTCCCCATTGCCCATGGCTTTGATCTTTCCAAACCTTTTGCACAGATGCATGTGGCTGGCATATTCTCTATCAACCAATGCAGGATGGAGCTGACGGCACGTTCTTTGAAGAGAACCTGGTTTATGTTTTCATAGATGGTGTTTTTTTGCTGGCCCTGAAACCATTCTGCGTTGGGCACTGCTCTTTTTCTGCTGAAACATCATGAAGTGCAAGGCAAGTAATATGAAGGACCTCCAGGCAGGGTGGGAAAGAATGGCTAATGTTGCTGTCAATCTCAGTGTAGAATTTTTCTGGAAGGAGGAAGAGCATGTCCCAGTTATTCTCTGTGTGTTATCTTTTGCCAATAGACGTCTATGCATGAAATGCTGTTTGTGCTGAAATTTTGGCTACATAAAAGGAGGAGGAACAGGAAAGATAAACCAGAAGTAATCTGTCTAATACCAATGTAGGACAAACATGCATCTCTGGGCCAATTATTAATTGCTTGAGAGACTGAATTTAAAATGTATTTCTCAGCTGAGCTGAAGGCTGGGCCATTTAACATTTGGCAGTTAGGTTAGTGCAAAAGTGGCAGTTAGCATGGGATTTCCCGGGTTGTTTTACACTATAATTCTCCCTGCCAACATCACACCAACAGGGGTCCATGGGGATGTCCAGTTTCATGGTTACCTAATTCCTAAAGTAAGTAGTGGGTAGAGTTTAGCTTTTTAAAAATCTTTGATTCTTGTTTCAAGACAGTGTGAGAGCAGCTAGAAAAAATCTGAAATTCGGTGATGTTCCCTCCCACTCACATAATGAAATTCCCAGGCAGGTTCATAGATCCAAGAATGAAGCTCTTCAGTCTGAACTTGGAATTCTGGAGGCAGGTCAGTCCCATGAGATCAGGTAGGTTTTGCCCAACGAAGAGCTCACTTGCGTTATTTCTGCCTCCACAGCAGTTCAGCTAGACAGACGATTCTCTGCAGATCCTTAGTACCTTTTCATATCACTTCTAAAAAATATTCAACCTCAGAAAATTTCCTGTCAAAACCTATTTGAATCTCATAACCGTATTTGGCACCAAAAATTGTTTTTAACTTGGCCCTCAGGAATTTGAGCCTTTTAATGCACATTATGAAAAGTTCTACTGCTCCAGAGACTGATGCTTCTAATTCAATTATCCTGTTAGCTCAGAGGTTTGCAGACACCGGTCTGTGGAGCAGCTGCTGCTGGTCAGCGGAGAGACAGCTCATTGTGTATTGCTGGCTGTCCTCGTTTCCAGCCGCTAACTGTATGAACATAGCAACAGAGGGTCCTGTGACACCTTTAAGACTAACAGAAGTATTGGGAGCATAAGCTTTTGTGGGTAAGAACCTCATTTCTTCAGATGCAAGTCTGTATGAAGATAGCTAATCTGCATTGTTTCTAGTATTCCACTTCTATGTAAGGAATCACTTTAGTTACTGTGGGTGGTCAAGTGACTACTAATGGGAGGAGAGGTGGTCCATGAGATACTCTGTTGAGATGTGGTCTACACTACAGTATGGCTTGCCGCATACCCATACAGACTTCAAATATGAATTCCCAGTCAAAAGCCTGATACCTTGCAGCAGCAATACTAAGATTGAGAACAGATATTTCTCATGTCATATTCTATTCCTGCTGGACAGCGTAGTATTTCAGAGACTGACCATACGAAAGGGTTAATTCTTCATCCTAGCTCTTCCTTAGTGGGAGAGCTCTGACTCTATACTAAGTGCTGATTTCAGATAGATCTTCCCTTCTGCTTTTTAAGGTACTGTGGTGATCTTGAATATGAATTCTGTGACGTTTGATCAGCAACACTGGGAGAACCCGAACCCTTCTTTCTTCAGCCCAGTTTCCTGGACTCAGATGGAAAGTTTGTGGAGAAAGAAGCCTTTATTCCCTTTTCCATAGATACAATTACCCATGCCATTTTCTCTTAGCTCTGTGCAGGCCTACATTTGGGACTAAAACAAGAGTAAACCTTTCTATCTATTACTTACCTGTTATTCTTGATCTCTGATACCAACTCTTGGGCTTCTGCTGCCAGCACGTTACTGTGTTCGCAGTGCTCCATATCTAAAATTCTGGGCTGTTAAGCACAGCACCCACAAGTGACCAGTACCTCCTCTAGTTGATGCGGAGGAGTAATGGTCAGTAACAGTTTGAACTGTTCTCTCCAGTTGAGTTGTTCTCGCTGCAGCTTTTTGCTGTTTGTTTCCCCAAGGGAAATATTTTTCTTCCATTTTCCTTTTCACCAGGTTACTAGTTTAGTTTAGCTACGAATTCTTTATTATCATTTAAAAAAAAAACCCCAAACATTTCCTCCGTTTACTGTGAGGCACCTGCAGCGTTGGTGAAGTCTGTAATGGTTGTACAGCCCAAGGAGGGAGTGTTGTTGTAGCACAGTGTCAGAGGAAGATTACAGTAGACACAGCTGGAGGGAAAGCGCTTGCCAGCTGCACTGCACTGAGTTACAACAGCCTCCGAATAGACGGGCATCTGAAGGCAGCAGGCTTGAACACTGAGCGCTTTATTAAATAAATCCTGTGTGTGGAGAGTGCACACACATCAGTGTATGTTGTTCTGTCTTTACAGATGCGTGAACCATTCAGCTTTGTGTTCTCGGATGATGTATTTTTCAGGGGAGTCTGGGGCCAGCATGAACTTTTTAGTCTTTGCCTCACTGATTTGGAGAGTCCACGTCCAACTTCGCAAGCTGAGCCTGAAATACTAACTGGGGGTGATCCTCTCTCTAGAACCTTACAGTCCCGTTGCAACTGATGGATGAGCCAAATTTTAGAACTGAATCATTTTCAAGAGTCATAAATGTTTTCCAGATTTATTAGCATATGTTAAGTGTTTTACTGGGACTTTGAAGGACTTTGTGTGACTGGGACAGAGACGTCCAGCAACACAAGCTCATTAAGCCAAAGGGTACCTGCAATTCACTGGTTGCAGTTAGCCAAATCAGCGGTCAGATTTGAGGGCTTCTCTCATCCCACCCTGTCCTCTGGTTGACAAACTGCTCAGAGAGTCTTGCGCTGGTCAAATACCTTGTGTAATTTATTTGCAATGTGGATGCCCATCTCCTTCACACTATATACAGCTCTGCTCCAAGAGTCTTAGGGAGCCCACAGCTCCTGCAACAAGCAGGGAAGGGCAATCTCTCTCCTCCCCCTCTGTCTGTTTCCTCCCCCACACACACACTTCCTTCCTGTGCCTATTTCTAGCCTCAGACTAATGGTTTAATTAGCCTTCCAGCTCCCCTCCATCCACAAATTAAGCAAAGCTCTGTTTAACTAGCTCCATTCTGCATTGTTTGATTGGAGCTGCCGGGTTCTTGCCTAACACTCAGTCACAGTCCTTAACCTCAAATATTTATTCCTTGTACTCAAGTATCTTTTCCAAGGCAACTGCTGCTGCTCAGAATCTTTCCTACTTCTTCTCAATTACCACTTTACTTCCTATCTGCCTCAAATGAAAAAAACCCAACAACCCCAAACCCCAAAACTGCTCATGCAAGCACGTTCACTCTGGAGACAGGACGTTCAAGATGACATTTTCAGGATTATTTGATGGCCAACAGACTCATGCTTCTTGCAGCGGAAAAGAAATTCACTCTGGCACTGTGCTATCCTTCCTCTGCTTGGAGCCAGTCAATATATTGCAACATTCTTGCATTTCCAGTCCCCGTAGTTCATGTACTGGCCAGAAGAGGGGGCCCTCGTCTTTTCTAGTGCACATATTACTAGGTTAAAAAGGGAGCAATTGCTACTGAAATGCATTCAGTCAAGTGAAAGTCTGGGATGTTTGGCTAGATCAGGGGTGGGCAAACTACAGCCTGTGGGCTGGGTCCGGCTCCTTAGGGCTTTTGATCCAGCCCGCGGGATTGCCACCCACGTGCTGCTGCAGGCCCCGTCCTGCTCCAGAAACGGCTGGCACCACATCCCTGAGGCCTGGGGGGGAGGGAAAGAGGGGCAGCGCACGGAGCCTTGCCTATGGGTACCTCCCCCACAGCTCCCATTGGCTGGGAACTGTTCCCTGTTCCTAGCCAATGGGAGCTTGGGGGAGGTACCCACAGGCAAGGGCAGCAAGCGGAGCCCTCTGTCACCCCTCCCCCGGTGGCTGCAGGGACGTGGTGCCAGCCACTTCCCGGAGCGGCGCGGGGCTGGGGCAGGCAGACAGGGAGCCTGCCCTGGCCCTGATGCATGCCGCTGCTACCTGGAGCCCACACCCTGAACCCCTCCTGCATCCTGCACCCCAACTCCTTGAGCCCCTGCCACACCCTGCACCCCAACCCCCTGCTCTGAGACTCTTCCTGCACTGTGCACCCCCTCCCCCTTCCCTGAGCCCCCTCATATACTCTGCACCCCTTGTCTGCCCCAGCCCCTTGCCCTGAGGCCCTTCCTGCACACTGCACCCCCTCCCACACTCTGCACTCTCTCCCACACCCCTGCCCCAGTCCTACATTCATGGCCCTGCAAGCAATTTCCCCACCCAGATGTGGCCCTCGAGCCAAAAAGTTTGCTCACCCCTGAGTTAGACCTACAGCAGGGCATTGGCTTGAAAAGAGATTTCGCTAACCAGGCACAATCGGGCGCTACAGGAAGGACACCAGGAGCTGATGATGGAGCAACCTCCATTTCCCTGCTTCCATGGGAAACCGGGATTAGCCTGGCCAGAAGCAGAGCGAGGGTTGCATTGCTCCTGCTGAGGGATCCGCGTATGCTGCTTTCTTATTGTTTGCCAGCTTTCCTGACTGACGTGAAGAGGAGGGTGTGACAGGACCCCCAGAGTGCAACCTGGAACTGGGGAACCACTGCGCCCTCTGTCTCACCAGCCTGGGCTCCCTCTCGCACTGTGCTGCTGTGACAAGCTGCAGAGCCCTCCCAGTCCTGCACGCGCACAAACCTTTACGCAGGCAGGGACACACGAAGGCTTCTCCCCAGCTCCACAGCCTAGGACCCCAGAGCTGTACCCTCTTGCCCTGGTCAAAAGCCTGCCCAGTATAAATGTATTACCCAGTCCGCCTCTCCCTCAATGTGGAGCGCAACAGGCACAAGCCTTTGACTGAGCTGAGATTTTCCCCCAAGCACTTCACTTAAACCAGGCTGGTTTTAGGTAAATATAAAATAGATTTATTAACCACAGAAAGAGAGATTTTAGGGGATTATAAGTAACAGCGTATAGATCAAAGCAGATTACCGAAGAAATCAAACAAAATCGCAATCTACGTTCTCTAAGCTGGATAGGATTTGAATCGAGCAGTGTCTCACCCTGTTAGATAGTACAAACAGTCCACCCGGCTTCCATACACAGGCAGGTTTCCTTCTTTCCCACCTGGGGCCCCCCTTCCCAGGTCAGTCTTTGTTCCTAAGGTGTTTCCAGGTGCTCTGATGTAGGGGGAATGAGGCCAAGTCATGAGGCCACTTCCCCCTTTTATATCTTCTTCCAACTTGCTGGAAAGGTCTTTTGCTGTGACGTGAGTCAAACAGTCTCCCTTGGGTATGCGCGATCTCTGAGAGGTTTTCATTGTACACAGTTCCTGGGGTAACCCTTGTCAGTGTTTGTATTCGCCTCAGTGAGCCATCAGTGTTGTTTGGCCTTTTTATTGTTGTACCTGAAAGGCTGCTTGTGGGTGTTTCCAGCTTCACACCATGTTTCAGTGGCACAAACATAGCAAAACTTCATATACAGTGATAGCACATACCACTTCACAGGATATTAATGGTCAGCCGATTAAGACTTTTAAAATGATACCGCACAAGGCATAGTTTTTTCAAAACATATAATTAGATCACCATGGTGAATATGGGGTGCAAAGTGTCACAGAGGGACCAACGCTCAAACTGCACAGATGGGTCAGAGAATGAGACAATAGTGGTTCTCCAGAGAGGAGGAGGTTACAGCTGAGGTGACAGGCCTGGGGTAGAGTTCGATTTGAGAGTCATTCATGTATCATGAAATTGCTTGGGAAATTAGTTTAGCGGGAGGAAAAAGGAAGGGTCTGAGGCTGGATCCTGATGAATGCCAGGAGAGAGGAGGATGAGAAGTCACCAAAGGGGAGATGCAGAAGGAGTGGTTGGTGGGAAAGGAAGGGATCTAGATAGTGTCAGAAGCACAGAGAGGGGAAAGGTGTGAGGGAGAAGGGGCAGGTCGACAGTGATAAAGAGGAGAGATGGAAGAGACGGTGCATAGAGAAGAGTCCCTTAGATTTGGCCAGGAAGAGGTTGCTAATTACTTCAGCGTGAGCATTTTTGGTTGGTGAGGATGGGAGGCATTTTGGAGGGAACTGAGGGAAGGAGGTGGAGGCAGCTGGAATAGACAGGTTGGAAGGGAAGGAATGAGAAGGGTTGGTAACTAGAAAGACAAATGATTTTGAGACTGGGTTTCTTCTTGTTAAGGGAAACAAGATCCTGCTTGAAAATGGCAGGAAAGGAGCCCAGAGAGGGAAGAGAAGTTAAGGACAAGTGAGTGGGTAGAGATGAGAAGGGAGCTAGTTAGAAAAACAGGTAGGATGACATTGGGTGGACAGAAGGCGGGAGGAGACCTTGAGGTTTCTGACTGGCATAGAGGAGGCTATATAGGGGTGTTGGGACAACTTTTATAGTGGGGGTGCTGAAAGCCGGAACCATGTATTTGGTTTTTATTACTACATGAAGCCAGGGAGTGCTGCTGCACCCCCAGCACTCGTAGTTCCAGTAGTGGGTTGGGGTGAGAGCAGTATGTAATATTGTCACTGAAAAACAGTCCCTCTTGCAACATTTTCCTGACATTATGTTGGGGAAAGTCACCATAAATAGCCTGCCCAAACTGGCAGAAATGCGTGCACTAAATCATTGTGCTGCTGACGAGCCACTTAAAGTTACACGGGTAAAAGAATCTGGGTGGCGTCAGGCAGAAACACCAGTCAGATGTTTCCCTATGGTTCACTCTGTACCTTGGCACTGCCCTGCGCTGCTCCAGCAAATTACCAAGGTGCGGCATCCAGAGCAAACTCACAGAGGACATTGCCTGGTGTGGCCTCCGCTCCCATGTCACCCTTCCACTCCCTGATCAAAGAAAGTTGTTTAATCTTCAAGACTATGGACTCTATAGCCAAAGCACACAACAAGTGTAATACCGAACAGCCATGCCTGATTCCATGGAAAAAATTAAAAGGGATGGAAAGGCAATGTATTTCTTCACACAGCACACAGTCAACCCATGGAACTCTTGGCCAGAGGATGTTGTGAAGGCCAAGACTATAACAGGGTTCAAAAAAGAACTAGGTAAGTTCAT